GTAATATATACTATAATATGGGTACAACAAAATATTTTTATGACTGTCCGTTATCTAAAAAACGAATCCCTACAATACGCACGAATAAAAGTCATAAGCCCACCAGCATGGCTAAAGACGTTGGATGCACGCGAGGTCGTGACTCTGAGTGCTCTTATAATTACATATCATAACATAATCGTTCAGGTTATGATGTATTAGTATCCAACAACGATTCAAACAGCGGGAGTTATGATTAATATCGATTATGAGTATATAATATGTTATATATGTATAAAAAAAACACATACCTACTCGTGAATAAAATATAAATGGTGGGGACTTTAAACTTCTTTTCCTATCCTTAAAAAAGTACACCGTATTATACTGATCATTCAGAAAGATAATAATGTATTGATATTATGTTAAATCAAAAATAATGACACTATTGATATTAAAACCAACATTTTATAATTTTTTTACAGTGCCTAGTTTTATTTTTATTTTTATTTTTTTTAATATAGATATTTTGACCTTATGAGTATATAGCAGTAAAAAAAAGATAATTTTTATTGGTACCTACCTATATCGTAAAATAATAAAAATTAAAAAAAAAAATGTTTTGTAATACTCGTGATTATATTTGATATCCATTAATATTTAAGACTGATTCCTTTTAATTTACAAACGCAAGGTCTTATTGGTGTGTTTTGTTTTTTTAAAGGGCACAATTATTATACTTATTATATATTATACTCATATTTTATTATTTTATTATCTCGTTGGCTAAGATATAAAGTTAATAAAAGTGTTTATTATGCGTATATTTAATATTGAATGAATTCGAACAAGCTATAATTATAATGTTATAAAGTTGGTCGATTTATAATGTGTGAGTTATATCAAATAATTAGTACTTTTAAAATACTTACATAAATACACAATAATAAATCATGCAAAATTTAAGAAATAAAAATAATATTTGAGTAGTTTAGGAAAAACCTTGTAAGTAATAACTTATAACTACTATCATAAACGTATCGAAATTATTTCTTGAAACTCGATTAAATGTATTCAATTTAAAATTTTGTTTTTAATTGTTTTAATTTCTTTATAAATCAATAAATACTAAATTCATAGATTAAAATCCCTTTTTTATGTTTTAAATTAAAAAATTATTCACGAGTTACCCATCTAAATGCAAACCATTATAATATTCAAAATGAAAAATATTTTTTACTATATTTACTTAAATGTGGATTACTTAGGTTTTAGTGGCGGGTTACCCTACAGGCAAAGTAATCAGGTGATTGGAGCGGCAAATTTGTCGGGGCAGCAAATTTGCCACACTTAAAAAAAAATGTATTTATAAAATTATATTATAATTTATGAATATTAGTCATTACTCATTAGGTTATTAACTCATTGAATACTGAAATGGTTTCGGTGAACGCGATCAACTTAAATTTTTATTATTAGCAAAACTATGTTTTTCCCGGGAACGGTGTATTTAAATACATTATCGTGATGGCCGATACGGCGATACAACGTTGCATGTTTTTGTTAATTAATAATTTATTTACGCAATGTATTTCTTTATGTATTTTGTTCTTTAAAAAAAAAGTTGAAAATGAAACGACGGCAAATGTCCTGCTTGTAGGCGGCAAATTGCTTAATCCGCCACTGTTAGGTTTACAGGTTTACAGCGAACTGATGTACATAAAAGGTATTTTCAGTTAAAGAATCAGTTATAAGTTCACAATTTATTTTATAGTCGATTGCATAAATATTATGTTCGCATACCTAATTGTTATACCATAAAAAGCTAATTAAAAAAAAAAAGTTAACAACTTATATTTTCACCAATACAACGCCATGAAACCACTTAAGTTCCACCAATGGATKATTTCTTGACTCAAAACTCCTAATTATATTGATCGTAAAATTATTTACCGAATATGTAATATATTAGGTATATTATTATATAGATAAAATATAATGTTAATAAAAAATGAATTTCAGCAGCCAATGTATACACCAAGGCTGAACTAAGTTGGTATTATATACATAAATTTGTTTATTATTTAATTAAGTTTTTTTAAAAATACTTTTTCAGTAATTTTTTTATTTAACCAAGTGTGAATATATTATTATTAATAATATTTTTTATACTGATTTTTAAAGATACATTCAGAGATTAATGCTTACACAATTTAATTATGTATACTGAACTATTATGATGTTATTTATATTCATTGAAGGTTTCATTAATTGGTTAATTACTGTTAATATTTTTACGAGTTTAATCTTACGAGTAAATAAGTTCTAAAAAAATACATATTGTTTTAAACTAATTTCTTTCGAAAAAATACTTATGTTATCTTTAGTTAAACTCCATTATCACCTCTCAGAGGACTGCGATTAGTTAACTGATTTCAGGCAGTTATTTATAGCTAAGGTGAGTAACAAGAGGTTTAGTAGTCGTAATAGTTTGATATGTTCTCACAGTATATAGATCTGTATATACATAAAAATATATATTATTTTTACTTATTTTAATTTAAGAATTCAACCTAAATCAAATTTTTACTTAACTCAACAAAAAAGAATATTTATTGTTATCTACCTATAATCTATATGTATATACTCAACTTAATATAAGAAGAAGAAAAGTTTTGAGGAAATTAGAAAGTAGCACAATTTCAGTAGCMGGAAGTAATGTGAAGAGTAAATTTTACTTGTAAAATAATTGCATATTAATTGCTTGCTTAATTCATGGGATTTTTAAATTGTTTCAAAATTAATTGATGTAAAATTTTAGCAGAGGAAGCGTCTATAAACAGTAGAAACTTATGTAACAAAAAATATCTCTTATTCTTAAGTATAATTTCGTTTCAAATAAATTTTAGTGTATAGTGTTAATTTAACTTATTGGTATATGATTATTAATTAATCTTGTAAATGCAAAAAATGATCAATGACAACGGATTTGTGCTTCATACCGAGCTTTAATTTACTAACGATCAAACAGGCATTTATAACCTTATATTTATCAAGGTACATATAATATTTATCATTTTACAATAATTAAGAAACAAATATGAGATATTTTTTGCACCCTACGTATTTTACAGTTGATATTGTGCAGGCCGAAATAATGGTGAAAATAATACAAAAATAATAATAAAACTAAACTATGAGTATATATAGTATTATACACTAAAAACTGATCATTTTACTCAGCCGGTTTTACTAGAGTACGCTTGCGGATAATAAGTCCGCAAAAAAAGAGCTTTGTCTGCCCAGCCATCTTTTCACTTGATATGCATAATATACATGTGAGCTGGTAAAGGTAGGTTTTATAATATATCATATTATTTTACACGCAATGACAGGTAAAACGCAGTGCCAATTTTAGACACCTGTATCACACCGTGAATTAAAAATATAATATTTAATATTATTATTAATATTGGTAAGCGACCAGTTTTTTATTTATTTTTTTTTTTTTAAATAAATTATTCGGTATTATATTGCATTATTCGATACCTATATGGTGGGGTGAAAAACTTTGTGTGTCAAATTCTGACCGCTTACCTGCAGCAAATATGTATATGATGGCTGACAGTCACGTTGATTAAACGTTTTTACGCCTGACGATTTGTTCCACATGACCGGTGAGCTGAAAATAAAAAACAAAATTATTATAATGTAATACAATTTTTTTTTTGTTTTTTTTTTACGTTATTATTCCTTACGAATGTATAATATATACACACACACACACACATTATATTATAATATGATATATAGTGTAGACTTCGCATAGATTTCGTCATAATACGACTGTAGAACAATATATATAATAGGTAGCCAGATTGTATACATTGTGCGTACAATGTACATAGATGTTGTATAGTATAAACAAGTGTAGATAAAATATTATGTCAAAAAGAATAAACTCCTAATATTTGATAGCCTGTATGAAATCCGTAAAAATCTTAAAAGTCGATGAAAATTCGTAGAAATAGTATACAATGTACTTTATTATATTATTAATTTAGGCCTACGGGGATGTATTCAGATAGGGAGAAGAGGTACACTATTTAATTTTTTCTAAATGTTGAACTCAGTATGAGTTGTATAACTATAAATCATATTATGTCAGTGATATTTTCCCCTTCAAATTTAATGTGTAACGGAATATGATAATAATAATATMATTTATCATCATTTACAAACAGCATTAAGAGGAAAGAAGACGTCGCACGACATTGCAAATTTTTTACAGTTTAAAAAAGGTCATAGCTTGCTTAAAACTATAATATCAATAAAATCCTACACGGGGGACTTGGTATAATAATCTTACTTTTAAATCGTTTCATTCTTATATTAAAACTAACGCCATACTATTGAAACTGGTAAGTTGCTACGTCGTACGTGTGTAAGACAGAGACAACATACGTGGGTGTGACTTCCCCTTAATACCTATGCCTCAAGCAAACGCATTGAAAATATTATATTCCGTCATAAAACGACTTTTAAATTTACCTACAGCCTTTATGAGTATCATGCAAAACCAGTCCCATGCTGAGAAAGGTGAATATTAATCTCGGTGGGTAATGGCTATATAGGCTTCATCCGAGGATGCAAAAACCAATATAAAATCTTCAATAATATTTTAAAATCTAGAAGTACGACAGTAATTTTCGTCACGGCGTAACCTGCAAAGCCTTAGTTTTTCTTTCGCGAACGACGACTCCTATACGGTTGTATAACTACCCAAGTCATCAATGACTTTTTAATATTATATTAATAATAACGATTATTATTATTATTATTACCTATTCAACAGCTGCTGCAATATAGCTATAAAGTGTTAGATCGTTTCGCCAAAAACGTTTCTGTCGCGAGCGCGACATGCGATTCATTACAATACGTATATAATATTATTATACTACACGTCTACACGTATATTATATTATAAATGTAGGTATAGCATCATAATATAGGACTTTCTAGGAATTCGCCGGTCGCATATTATAATAAATCTCACCACGACTCCGATAAAAATCGACATGCGTTTATTATGTGCACGCGTCCGTTTTCGACTTGGGTCATGGAGGCCATCGAAATCTAAACACGCGTAAATGCCAAACGCGTACCTACATATATATATATTACTATTATTACTATAACGCCGAGTAGGCACTTCCGTCAGGCTCGTTGCAACTCCGGCACCAAGCAGCTAATAATATGATGCGTATATATATATATATATATATATATACCATTAATATATTATTATATACATAAAGGTATATACCTGTTATATATAAAAGTATAATGCATATGATTAATGGTTTTTAATATTTTTCCTCATCGCCGCGTACATCTATATCGCGTACTTACATAATATTTATTTTGCGAAATCCGCTTGTACCCCGCTATAATACGCATCACTCCAAAATATTAAGCACCTACTTAAGTTTGATATTATATTATTATATTCCAAATATAACGCTATACATATTTTTTAATATGTTATTGTTATGCAGATCCGCTCAATCGGTCCATGTCTCTATACGTGTTTAGGGGTGTTTTAATTTTCTACGATGTATATTATGAATGTAGTTCATCCATCAAGTGCATTGCTATGCATATACATGTCATATGCACGACTCGCAGGAGACTATAAATATTATATTACAATATGTAGGTCAAACGCTCATAATCTGCAGACTTGCACGTACGCGTATATATAATATATAATTTAGTTGGCCGGCTTGTTATTATATGATTTTGGAGTAGTCACATGCACATGCACACCATTGCGGAGCACAGACGGTATGAAAAAAATACAAAAAAAAACGTCATTCGCGTGGAGCTGTATTCCGGGTGACAGGCGCGGAATTTTTTAGTAACGTTATACGCACTCGGTCGTGTTTTACAATGTACATAGTACATACTATATGGCATTATAAAATATTATATTTATATGGTATTTACTAAATGTAAAAAACCTAACTCGCAATATAGTTATACGCCCCGAGTTCTATGCAGCTGCCTGGAGGCGAATAACTATTTATGTGCTTTAACAAAACAATTTTTTTCATACATATAAATATGGACTAGAGCTATCTGGTATATCTATAATATCAATCTTACATAGTTTATATATATAACACAATATATTATATGATTTCGAGGCTAGTGAAACTCGGTTTAGTGAATAAGAAATTATGTTAAAATTATACGTCATAAATATATTATGAGTCGGTGTTTCGGTTTTTTATTATATATATAAATAGGTATTTAACATAGCTGCGCCGGTATCGTAGATTATAATATATTTCAAACGAAAAGTGAATTTATATTTTCGATCAAGCTTTAAAATAGTAGTTGATTGACAGGATGCTGGTCTTATCTTTGGAAATTATTAAACAAATTGTTGACTCGATCTATGGATTTTTCAACGGTACTGCCCCGGTCGACCCACTCATTTCAATCGTTTCCTAGACAGTACCACCACTACTACCATAGCTACTAATACTATACTACTTCTACAATAGTCTTTTGGTACTATTACTATACTATTGCTGCTACTATAGGTAGGTATAGCCGTATAGGTATATATCCACATGTTCGGAACGGCACTCACATTCCAATATAAAAAATAATAACCGAATTGGTTCCGGGCCAAAGACGTATTGGTCTTTGTGTTGTGTTTATTTATATATCCTATTTAAGATTAAAGTAAATATTTAATGTTTACAATGTTAATAACTTAATTAAAAATACAATAAAAAAGATTTTAAAATCTATTGAAAACTAGAAAAGTATGTACCAGTTACGATTGTAAAACTGAAAATAAATACGACCACTTTTTCAGTTCCGAATACTATTGAATTTGGGCATGTTAATGATCTATAACTGACAATATAACCACTATTTAATTTACTAGGAAAGCTTGAACCATATAATGGAGTTCTATTATAAATATATTGTCTACAAAATATTCTTACCACGTGATAAATCAAGTGTGTTATAAATGTTTAAGTGAAAATAATTTCTGTTTAAATGGACCATAAAAAACTACCTATCCAATTAAAATTTTAATTTGAAATTATACTATTATATTACTTTCAAACATTAACGTCACTAAAGGATTATACATACTAAATTAATAAAAATTGATGGTTTCGTCATAATTAATAATATTCAATTTGTTCTCTTCATGTATTATAGTTAATACCGCGGAGTGTATTAAAATAAATCATTATAATATATTATTATCATTAGGTCAGCTCATTGAGCCAACGCCCGAATGGTCGAAATTATAGATAGACGATGCGTGGTTCAATGATAATATACAGAATAAACATACGCAGCTATATACATAATTTAAATTCGAAGTTTCTAGAAGAAAAAAAATTAGCATGTTAGAGATCTATGATGGATTATGATTACATCGAAGAAGATTCAATTTAATTTTAACAACTAATGTTAAATATATGTAAATTTCCATGATTTGAATCATTTATATTTAATATTTAATTTGTTTATCGTATGATTCACACACTATTTTATAGACTAAAAATATTTGCCATTGTGTTGACCTACATAACATTAGTTTCTGCAACTGCAGAAAACATTGTCCAGCATCATGTCTGAATGATTATACCATTATTTGAATTTGTTTAAATATTTGAACGTAGTTTGAAACAGAATTAATTAAAAAAACATATTCGATTGTAATATATTATTTAATAAAATAAAAATATAATTTTATCAGAACACTATCAGTAAACAAAATTGAATTGTAAAAAAATATTGATGGTTGAGCGAAAATTGCRAAGCTTTAATAATAGTGTGATATCGTTTTCAAAACGCTCAAAGGATGTAACCAATTAAAAAAATGTTTTTATTATGACGGACACGAGAGTTGTAACGGTACCTATACCGTCATGTGGATATTATAAAGTCATTATATTTTTTTGTTTTAATTAAAAGCGAGGAATACCCGAATACGAACACAGCGTCGAGATTGGTAAAGTTAATAGGTTTGTTTTTAGTAGGTATACTGAGTTCCAAAGGAGAAATCGTATACTATAAATACAGCATGCGGAAGAATTAAAACAAAACCGGTAAAACAAAAACGCGTGTTGAGGAATTATARCGACAAATCTGAGTTAATTCGTCATGGTGGATAATAAATTATATTCACATATTTATCTGTATATTTGTAGAAAAAAAAAATGACTAATAATAACTGTTTGACATTGAACAAATAATGATAATCAAATTTTGTATCATTGCCTACAAAACACAACATATTTCTATTGATTTAAGGATGACAGTTTATGATTGGTTTTTTTATCTTTTTCTGCAGTGGACACTGTTTTTTGGGTAGAAAGAGTGCTCCTGTGAAAGTTTAAGTTGCATGCAGCTCTATCAACATCTGATCGTTTGTAAATAAAATTAAGGACAATTTTAACAATTGATGCTTTAAAAATCTAATATGTTTTTTTAATTACCTGGATAATTCAAACATTTTTTTAAGTCTAGAGATGATGTAAAACAAATAAATTTAAACGCTTTATACTCAGATCCATAATTTAATTAAATACGATGATGTTTTGTCATTGCTTTTAAGTTTTATTTTTTTATAAAAATAGGGAT